TCCTTAACATTAAGAATAAGTAAAATTGTCAGACGAAATTTCGATCTTTTTTTATAGTTTACCATCAATCTCAAATACAAATTATTCATTTTACCATTCTCCTATTACCCATATTTTGACCAATATCTGAACCTTAAAGTGAGGAATTATAGATTCCATAAGTTTAACTAATTCTTATCCTTTTTATAGAACATTCATTCCACCTATTATTCTAATGCCATTGCAATTACTTGAACCAACTTGTTAAGACCCATCAATCAACCATTCTTCTTCTGGAGAATTGGCAAATTGTTATGATTAAACATTTTTCCAAAATTTACATGATGAGATTGAATCTGAGCAGAATACACATTCTTAAGGACATTATAAAATTTCAATTTTTAAATTTTAAACTCCCCATGATTCCTAAGTTATGACAATTAATACATCATCTGCAGGCTAATCCAAAGTCGAAGTCATTATAATAACTATAGATTTTGAATGGTGATTTGACATAGCAATTACAATAGGAAGATTATATTCCAAAAATATTGCTTCTGTTTCGCCACAAATTTACTACCCATCAGTCAGAATAAATGACTTTTATCTAATTTCACTATCAAATACCATTTTCACAATCTCACCATCCCAACTATCAACTCAAAAATCAATATATTTAGTACTTCCATAAATCTAACGAAATTCGTAATTCATAATGAGGAGGAAGAGCAAATTGAGTAGAAATTAATGTCTGAATACCGAAAACTGAAAATCCTCCAAATATCTTTTAATTTCCACATTGACTAAATGGACCACCATAGGAATTAATGAGGGACCATCCTAATTAAAATTTAAATTACTTGAATCATCCCAATTTGAACCTGTAAATTCCTAATAAATCGTTTACCATGATGCTTAGGATTATGCAAAGAAAAATATAAATTGCAGAAGAGAGTAATATATCTTCATTTGTTATTAAATTAATGTTTTCGTTAATTTAAGGTCAAATAAATTGTAATAATTTAATTGTAAATCTCAAAATGTATTCTATTAGTCAAATATGACATATTTAAGTCAAAATGATACTAAATATATAGTTCATAATAATTATATTTTATCCTTGTTGGTAGCAAGCAATAGTCAACTGGGAAATAATGAATCAGAAAATTTACCTTTTTATATGATCAAATTGTATTGACTCAAAATGATACTAATACTAAGAGATTTAAAAGACTTAAAGCGCTTTATATGTATATTAAATGATCGGTTTCTATAAGAAATTTTGATTAAAATATTAAAGAGTGAAGTATTTTAACTATCTTTATTTATTAAAATCACTTTTAAAATATTATCCTATTGAGAATAAATTTAACAGCGTCTACCTAATTTATTTTGAATAACTACTGTACCTTACATTTATATAAGTTAAAACAAATTTTCTAAAAGACTTGATATTAATTATATTAATAAAGATAATAAATTTTAGATCCTAATTGATTTAGTAATTAGTAAAATTTTATATATTGTATTTAAATTCTTGTTATTTCACTTACATTTATATTTCTACCCAAAGACTATAATTTGATTGCACTTTTTTGTTGAGAGATAAATGAATTAAGTAAAACTAATTTTATAATTATTAGGTTATAAAAATAGATAATGTCCAAAAAGTAAAAAAAAATAAATCCAATTTAATGCTTTTAAGGATGATGGTTATTTTAAAAGAACACTTCTCTAGATCAAACTTTGGTATATGATTAATAAATCAAAATTAAAACAGAGTATTGGTTGATGTCTGCTATTAATGATAGTAATTTAAAATAGTCTGAATTTACACAATTCTGAACAATTTTATAGAATTTTAATTATCATCTCAAAAACTGCGTATATTATTTTATAGAATTCATTTAGTTTTTAAAAGGCATTTATATGATGTCAAATACAATCTTAGCTGAAGATAAAATTCTAGTAATTTACAATAAGTAATTCATATATATACATAAATTTTATAGATTTAGAAATAACAATAATAAATAAATAATTAAATGCAAAATAATCTAATCATATGCCCTATTGAAAAAAATGAATTAGCATAGTTAGTTTGCTTTAATAAGGAATGCAAAGGTAATAGAATTTACTGTATCGAATGTTTAAAATAAGGACATCACGCTTCTCACTTACCAGACTAATATGATATAAAATGTTTATAGATGAATTTCTTAAAAATTAAACTGAAGTGTGAAAACTTAATAACAAATTTAGATTAGATGATTAAGGAGATTGATGAATTATCAACTTAATTATTTTAAGGGTTGAAAGCAAAATATTCAATGTCTATAGAGAGACTGAAGCAATTGGATTAAGGGGAAATGAATGAAGTTATAGAATAAATGATAAAATTTGATGAAGTTCAAACTGATCTAATGGTCAAGGTGAAAGAATGTTAAAAAAATTTGATTAACTTATTGTAAGAAAAAATTGTAGATCTGAAACTATAGAAAGATATCTAAATAGAAAATTAAAAGAATCATCAAATAATTAGTTCAGATCAAGAAGCTGACAACTATGATGTAGCATTAAAATTATTGGATAATAAATAATTTATTAATTAGAACTATTAATAAGCATTGCTTATAAAAGGTATTTTCATCAACAACCTTTATTAGCTCAGTTTTTAAGAATGTTTGGAAAATACGACGATGCAATAACATGCTCTAATAAATTGTTGTCAATTGATTCAAAAAATGTTGAGGTTCTATGCCTTAAAGGTATTTAAATTAATTAAACTATATTAGCTTGCTGCTTAACAATGCTTGGATAATGGAATGATTCAATCAAATATACTGATAAAGCTTTGTCTTATTATTCAGGGCATGTGGAATCACTATATGCTAAAGGTAAAATTCTAATATAAATATTTAGCTAAAGCCTTAGAATTTCTTGGAGAATACGACAAGGCAATTAAATACGCAGATAAGGCTTTGCTTATCTGTGAAAACCATATTGAATCTCTAGCCTTAAAAGGTATACAAATTATAAATTAAATTAGCCTTTTGCTTAGGGATTCTTAATAAATACAATGAATCAATCATATTCACTGAAAAAGCATTAACCATATATTCCGAACATGTGCAGTCACTATGTACTAGATGTTTATAAATATTATCAAAATATAAGCTCGCAGTTTAAGAAGGCTTGGAAGATACTAGGAAGCAATCTAATGGGCTGATTAAGCTATATCTATTGATTCCAACCATTTCGAGTCTATACGTTCAAAAGGTATATAAATTAATGACGAATTTATTAGGATATAGTTTAATGAAACTTGGCAATTACAATGATGCGCTGATTTGGGCCAATAAAGCTTTGATGATAAATTCAAATCATTAGGAAATATTATACATTAAATGTAAGAAGGTTTTAATATGATAGCTAGATGCTTATAGAAGGTACAAAAATACAAGGAATCAATTGATTAGGCTGAGAAAGGTTTGAATTTGAATTCAAAGCACACTGATTTATTATATACAAAAGGTATATACATCACATTTATATGCATCAGCTTGCAGTTTAAGAAAGCTTGGTTACTATTAAGAAGCAATTATATAGGCAGATTACGCTCTATCTATTGATTCTACACAAATTGATGTATTAATTTTAAAAGGTTTAAAATCATAAATATCTATGAATTAGCTAAGTGCATATAATAGCTTGGAGAATACGAAGATGCAGTCTAGTTGGCTAATCAAATTTTATATTTAAATTCAAAGCAAGGTAAATCTACGTGTATTACAGTTAAATCCGTGTGTATTAAAGGTAAATAAATCCTAGATAAATTTAGCGATGAGTTTAATGTGTTTATCGAATTATGAAGAGTCAATTAAATAAGTGGAAAAAGCTTTACAAATAAATTAATACCACGTTAGATCACTTAGCATAAAAGGTATAGTAAGCTAATAAGTAAATGAGCGTAAATATCAGGATTATGAAAGAAATATCATGATGCTCTTTTGTGGGCAGATAAAGCTTTGTCAATTCGTCCTAATGATTTAAAATCCTTATTTTTAAAAGGCATTTCTTTTCTACATATCTAGGTAATTCATTAAAATTTCTGGATTAATTTTCTGAAGCTCTACAAGTTTTTAACCTAGCCCTTAAGAGTAGACCTAATGATGAAAGATTTCTATATTATAAAGGTTATTTTCATATCCATTCAAATAGGATATTGTTTATGGAAATTATCATAGAATTAAGAGGCTATAAAGTATTTAAATTAAGCTATTTGGCTTGTTCCAAATAGAGAATGGATCTAGAATA